CCAGGCCAGTAGTGGCACAACGCCAACCGCTGGAAGCAGGGTGCTTAGCAATGCACCACCAAATGACGGCAACAATGTTGGATTAGAGGCAACATTGGCAGTGGTCATTTGCGTCGGCATCGCGGCAGCGAAAAACAAAGAAGCACATGGAAGTCCACGCATGAGATAGGAGTTCTTTGGCACCAAATCTAGGGGAATGTTTACAGGAAGGATAAACTCTCCCTACATGGAGGGGAAATTGGGCAGATTATACGAGGTTCCTTTTTTGTTTACGGGAACCGTCAGAGCACTTTTTTGGGCCAACTCCCACTAAACCACAAATTTTCACAGGAAAGGGGATGCTATTGGATTATTGCTTTTCCAAGGACTTGCTTCCCTAAATGATTTCTCGCATGAAAAAGAATGTTCGTGCGCACAAATTATTACCTGAAAACAAGTTGCAAAAAAATAATTTGGTTGTACATTGTCTATGGTAATGACTAGTGGTCATATTCGCATCTTGCTTCTCTTTTACTATTTGTAGTAGTGTTGCTTGTGTGCTCTTGATATATTGTATTCATGATATATGATAAGATTATGTTTTGTTATATCCTTCTTATACGCCTACCTTCTTCTTCTTCGTATGGGTCGACCTCCTCTCCCTTCCTACCTTGGCTACCTCTATTCTTCTCCATCATTGCTCCCATCCTCTTGTCCACCAATTTGCAGTTGGAGCGAATCTTTCTTGTTTGTCCGCCCATTTGTTGGCATGCCATGTATGCACTTTCCTCGTCATCGATTTGTCTACGCAAGCGATTGTCGACCATTGGTGTTGACCCATTCCCTACCAGGCCACCACACTTCCATATCCCCATTGCCGGTGCCACCACCTCACTCTTGCTGCCATGGACGCCACCTCTAATATATCTTCGAGATGAGCTGAAGGAACGGGAAAACCTCATGCAAAAACTTAATGAAACTAAACCTAGCCCTTGTTGCGGTCATTGCTTTCAAAGATGCGCGATTAGAAATTAGGGGGGGGGGGGAGAAATTCTTGATGTAAAAGCCAATAGGGGCTCCTCCCCTACTAGTCTAGCTTTTTTAGAAACAGAAGAGCTAAGCAGTGTTACACAAAAGAATAGCATGGGCACGACAACATGGGTTCAAGGTATGTTTGGTTCATATCTAGCTTTGCAAAAACTAGCCTTAGGTAATTGTGTGTAACAAAACATATTGTCATTTTCTGTTGGAATATATGAGTCATGGACCATATGAAATTCAAAATCGTGGCAACAGGTTGCCATTTTTTTTTGGAATATATGGGTCATGGATCATCTGAAATTCCAAAGCGTGGCAAAGTACATCGAAAATGATTTCATCCATTTTTTGTCGGAACAAACTATTGGCCTATCATTTTTTAGGGTTCTATCATTCTTTTGTTTAGTTCATACTAGTTAATGTGTACGTGCAATGCACGTTAATTTGGAAGTATATTAAGTGCATGCGGATATTAAATAGGATATTAGTTGCGTGTTATTATGTGATTAGCACTATATTTGACATGAAATTAACTGCACGTTAAACGTGTTGAACGCTCAACATTGAAGTAGTATAGGTCGTTGAATTGACATGATTTGATGGCTGAGATTAATTGAATCTGCCCCTTTAAATCTTTTTATACTGGTATAGATATAGATATAGATACTGTATATTATAGGCCTATCCTGCACTAAATTGGACTTGTTAGACCGTGCAGGGCCTCTGGGCCCGATAAAAGAGGCCCTGCAAGGCCCAACACGGCTTGCAAATTTCGCCCCAACCCCCCTCCCAAACAGAAAATTAACAATCCCCCCCCTCCTCTCTCCCACCACCGACTGCACGCGCCATTCCTCTCCCTCTTCAGCTCCACCGGCGGCGAGCCCCCGTCCTATCCCCCCCGACCCCCGCGAAGCAGCCGCGAGCGCTTTATCTGCC